AATTTTCTCTCAAGATTTACTGAAAGCTCGACTGCAGCTTTTAACGTAAAGAACATGGGTTTTATTCAAAAGTGATAGGAACATTTTCTATATCTGTACATACAAGAATTTAAACACTAATGGATGTTTTTTCATAAAACTTTATAAATGTGAATAAAAACAGCAAATTCAATTTCGCATAAAATCTCTAGCTGTCCATTTTCCCAGCTTGGCGTATGGGTCCTGTCGAAATGAAAATTCAATACATGGTGCTTATACTTATAAATCACACTCGCCTAATAACGATTTCTGCGTCCTGCAGAGTGTCCACACTAGCGACTCAAGTAATAACTCAGTAGAGCCCTTTTGAAACTTATCGCGGAAAGGACTTCAACAAGATAGTATTTTCTGTAGATTAATCAATGATTTTTTTTAATTTTGAAGTTTTGCAGCTTCTAAAACGTGATTCAACAACAGGGTCAGGGTCAGGGTCAGCGGTCGTCAATAATGGCGGCCACTACTTTTTCTACTGCTCTGATTATTGTTCTTGCTGGGCTCCTTTTACGATCTAGAGTCCAGAAAATCTGTAGAATTTCACCAGAAACTTTTAAAGATGCTGATGGTCTCCTCTCTTATGGAATTCCCAACGACATAAGCCTGGAGGAGAGTACTTTTGTACAAGTCTCTTATCGAGTGGCATCCAAGATGGCGGCGATTTCCTCTCATCGAAATCTCACGTGGTCCCTTCTGCTTCTTTGTGGCGATKTTTCTGTAAACCCTGGTCCTGCAGTTCCATCTACAAGTGGTACTAAGATTAAGTGCGGATTGTGTAAGCAAGCTATATCCTGGAACCTTCGTAACATCTGTTGTGTTGATTGCAATCGCTGGTTTCATATCTCATGCCAGTCCCCTGAAAGTACAGCTTCGTTGTCTGCCTTAAATAGAAGTCTTGTCTCCTGGTCCTGCCCTTCGTGCAGCAGCCCAAATTATTCTAACTTATTGTCTTATCACAGTGCAGTTGGCGTATCAAATTCGTTTGATTCACTTAGTACCTCCAGCAACTCTCCTGACTCACCTGCATCTAGCTTTGGGCTACCTGTGGCAGCATCCTCACCTGGACTTGTGAACACAGATCCATCACCAAAGGCCTTTACTTCAAGACGAAAAACACGTCCTCTGCGTTTTTTGAACCTAAATTGTCGATCTATTAGAAACAAAAAGCCAGAATTCTGGAACCTCATTGATTGTACAAGGCCAGATATTATTGTTGTGACCGAATCTTGGCTAAACTCTGACATAGGTGACGGTGAGCTTTTTCCTCCCCAAATGGCTGGTAACTACAACATATTTCGCCGAGACCGAGTGAGCACCCTGGGCGGCGGTGTTTTCATTGCCGTCTCAAGTAAGCTTTCATCTAGTAGAGAACCCTCCTTGGAGACCGAGTGTGAAATCTTGTGGGTTAAAGTGAAAGTTACTGGCTGCAAATCCTTGTATATTTGTGCATTCTATAACCCTGATGAAAGTAATGCCTCAAGCTTAGAGAACTTTGAGATTTCCCTCCARCGAATTCCCAGTGAGTCTGCGCACATCTGGATAGCAGGCGACTTAAATCTTCCAGGTTTTGATTGGAAGCACAACTGCCTGCTGCCAAATTGTCGATATMCTGAGCTTACCCGAAAGTTTGTAAACTGCCTTGATGACTATGACCTGGCCCAACTTGTAAAGGAACCAACTCGAGGGAACAATGTTTTGGACCTATTTATAACTAACAACGAGAGTCTTATTACCAAAACGCATGTCATCCCTGGTATAAGTGACCATGACGCTGTGTTTGTGGAGGGTAATATCAGTCCAATTATCAACAAACAAAGACAGAGACTGATACCATTATACAACCAAGGTGATTGGGATGGGCTCAGAGCACACATGTCAAATTTCGCTGACAGGTTTGTGAGCTCCAATGACACTGAATCTTCCGTAAATGAACTGTGGTCTAGCTTCCGAGATGAACTGAAATCTAACATCAGAAAACTTATACCTCACAAAATAGCAAAATCAAGAAATGGCTTACCATATGTATCTCCACCTTTGAGGCGCCTTATGAGGAAGAGGGACAAACTACGCGCACGAAACGATCCNGTTGTTGTCTTTAATGTCTTTACAAGTGAACAACATTTAACGTTTATAATGGGGTTGACTGTAAGCTTGACGAAACGCACTATAACCAGCTCAGAAGGAGCCGACGGGGTCTGTTCTTCTAAATATCTGTTCTTGTACGTTTTTTTTTTCCTGGGAAACGGTTTTGAGCTACATTGTTGACATTTTCACAAGCAAATGTGGGACCCATCCTTSTTTTTACTGTTTACTGTTCAAGCAAAAGACCCCCATTTTAAAATATGTAAGCTTGTCTTGATATTCGCAGCTTCTACACACAAATCAATATTGATCGTTGTTGAGACACGAGTTTAAAGTGCGCATGAACCATTTCAGAAAAAAAAGGCAAATATGATGCTAATCCGATTGCTTTGAAGAAAAAAAAAGTTATTTGAATTTTATTTTCTGAGTTAATGGCATTTGAAAATTGAAAATGCTAATCATATCAAACAATTGCCCCAGAGAAAAATTCATTCATTTGCCAAACTTTTACTGACCATATATGGTAATCTTACCTTATAAGGAAGTACGTTAGAAAGTTTTTTTCAAGTTTTTTCCCACCTTTTAGTGCTTTAAAAATGGCTAGAATTTGCAGAGAAATCGCTTTTCAACATGTCGGCCATTATAATTTTGTCCCCTCCCATCCTTGAAAATAAGGAATCCACAAAAGACACAGGTAGCCCGCACGAATGTTAGGCAATTGTTTGATATGGATGTGACGTCAAGAGAGGCTTCATCAGAAGTACATAACCAGAAGTGTCCATCTCCCTATTAATATCGCCACCATCAGATGTCCCGATAATCTATTTTTAGACAACCAATCACAACGCGCGCACATATTACACGGCACCTGATTGGTCCTTGTTGATCTACTTCAAGAGCGGACAAGAAAGGAAAACATTATGTAGTCGATGGAGGCGAACGAAGGAAGTTCGCATTTACGAGAATTTTACACCTTTTGCTGAACAACCATTTTTGAATTCGACTAGAAAACATACTTTACTATATGAGCAATGTAGCGAAGGCAGTTCAAGAGCAATATGGTCTGCGAAAACAAGGGAAAAGTTCAGACAAAGATGAAAAAGATGCAGACAAAAGGAGTGCGAAGAAATGTCTGCAAAAATGTGATTTTTGTGGCGAGAATTGTTCTCGTTTTAATAAGAAATCTATTAAAAACCCCTTAGACTATACATACAATTGTAGTAAAGGTATTTTTTAGGATGTAAAAAGCTTTATAAAAAGGGGAAAACTAATACAAAACGATGCCCGAGTGCGAAAAATGTCACAAAAACTCAATCAAAAACTCTTTTAGCAAAATGATGATATTAAGCTTATATTGTGAACAAAAATGATTGTTCTTTGAAAGAAAAAGCGAGGAATAAACAAACTAGCGAATAGGTACAGAGGGTAATATCGAAATCATGTCGAATTTTAAGTTAAAAATAAACAAGATAACTTAAGTTATGAAAAGCCACAAACAAGAAAAGTCATCGAAGAAATATCGATAACTTGAATTTCAAAACAAACCCCGCCTACCTGAAAATTTACAGCTTTTCCATCTCACGTTAAGAGTTGAAAATTACTTTACTTTTGGCTTTGTTTAAGTCCAGCTCTATTTGACTGTAAGGAAGCTACTTTACACTACTTTTCTTAGCACGCTGT